GAACAGCAGAGTCTTAGCTTAACACTGTAGCCGCTAAGACCTACGCTTGCAAAGGTAAACAAAACTTATGGATAGTATCGCCACTATAATGCCCTTGTCATAGTGCTACTGGTTGCAAAGATCCCCAAGATGAAGTCTCTATTGTCTTGCACCTCTGGTCGGTAGGATCAAAGGAGGCTAAGAGGATACTACCGGCTAGAGGTACAGCTGGCATATTAAGTCGACTTTGCCCGATTTTTAACACGGTTTGCTTCACATTTTACTTCTCTGCACTCCAAATTATTCTTACACTCTTAAAATTTTTCAAGACTACGTTTACATTCATTTTTTTTTTTAATTTGGTCTTGTACCTCCAGCTGGTAGGATCTTAAAGGGCTTAGAAAGTACTACCGACCAGAGGTGCAGCTTGCATATCTAGTCGACTTTGCCAAATTGTTACTACGGTTGGCTCCACATTTTACCTTTCTGCACTCCAAATTAGTCTTACACTCCTTGGAATCATTTTTTTTTCATCATGATTAATTTGCATTTAGTTTTTCTTTATTAGATCTTGTACCTCTAGCTGGTAGGATCTTAGGAGGCTTAGAAAATGCTAGAGGTACAGCTTGCATATTTAATCGACTTTGCACAATTTTTATGACAGTTTGCTTTGTATTTTGCTTTTGGAATCACTTTTGTTAAGAATATCTTCTTGTTCCTTGGTCGTGTACCTTCATAAACAATAACAACATTCATTTCACAATTACAAAATAATTATTTCCTGCATGTCACTAAGAATAGCTCGTCTTTGTTACGTTAATTATAACAGAAGCAAAAATAATAGTAACAACAATGACTGTAATTGTAACTGCTCAGTGTCAAAGTATTCCTTAGAAAAATGTTTTTCAAAATCTTGCACGATGACCTAAATGATATGCACAACAGTTACCTAGCAAAATCGGAAAAATAACATTTTTTGTCATACCCGGCCACTCGCCCTAAACATTTCACCTTAGAGATCAAAACATTCAGTATCTTGGTAACCAAATTTAGAGTGACAATATTAATAATATTTACAACCATTGACTAAAATGAAAACTGACCTTATTTATTCCCCCACGCTTAATTTGAAAATAAGACATAAGTATCCACGGATAATTACATTAAAAATTCACGAGTTCTCAATCTATTGTTGCTGGTAGTTACCACTAATTAATGAGTTAATCAGGAAGAAATTGCTTGTGAGTTGTTTTGTTATTGTTTTGCACTGGGCGATGAAGTCGGCCTATATAAACTAAAATAATGTTTATTTCAACGAGTTCAGCGAAGAACCTTCAACAAAGAGAATCTAAAAAAAAAACGCTTGCGAGTCAGATCATTTAGTTGTAAAAACATGTATTCATTCCACCAGATAAAGCGCAAAAGAACAGAGTGTTTAAACGTCAGTCAAGCTCTCTCCAATTACGAAAATTCTGATCAGGTTGTTCCGGAACAATGCACAGAATTTGAAGAGCAAGAAAGAAGAAGAACATGGAGTTACCACTGTCAAGTTCCCGAAGCAAAGGTGGAAACAAAAGGAAAACTAACAGAGGCGGCTAAGTCATTGAGCGAAGAGGAGATGCGACTCTTGGAGGAGGACATATTCAAACCTCTGGATATTTGGTCAATTATACTGAAAAACTGTCAGGAGAATGAAAATTGACTTCGAGGAAGAAAGTAAATTTGCGAAAGATAGCTCAAAGAAACAAGGCCAACGGGTCTCGTCATCGAGTGTGAAAGAAACGCGACGTTTTCAAGGAGATGTACATTCAATATGGTGGACCATTCACGAACAAAAAAGACACCGAGATGAGAAGACATGGAGCTTACTCATTTATTTGGCAGAGTTCGAAACAGAACTGTGATCTCTCTAGACAAAACAAATTTTTCAAACATTCTCTCATAATTTTTAGTTTTGTCGATGTGAAGTAAATTGCCCATAATTTTATATGACATAGAAAGATTCATTGGCCTAAATCAACTCTCTCTTCTCGATAGGAATATTTTTGAGGAGTTTCACCATTGCCGACGATAGATCGAATCTCACACCTCTGATCATATGACTTTGACGAGTTTTGTTTTCGGTAGGAAAGCTAAATACTCGTTAATTTGACTAAAACCGTACATGAAACTGTAATCTTAGTTTCTATTTATGCTTGAATGTAAAAAAGGTTTTTACTTGACAAAAACTAAGTCCTGTTCATCTGGCGAAAAAATAAACAGCTATATGTAAATGATACATAGAAGTTATTCTTTGATTTTTATCAACTGAGTTGGTGATGTGAATAGGCCACCGTAGTAAGTTTCCAAAGCTGAAGTTTCAAGCGTTAGCCCCTCATCAGAGCGAATGGAGGAATTGTGGGTTGTGTATATTTGAAGACGGGTAGATGACAGTGGCCTCGAATCTCATTGAATTTGGCTTAACTAAAAAAAAATGCGGTGTCAGCGGCGAAAAAAGGGTTGACTTCTAAAACATTTATCACATAGAGAATAATACATGGGCGCGCGTAGATATGTGGAATTTCTCTAATCAGTCATAAAAAATATTTGTACCAAATATAGACACAAAAAAATTATAATGAAAACCAGCAATTAACCTGGCTGAAGTTATGGAAAAACGTGACTGACGAAGCACAGCACAGCGTTAAAATGAGTGCGCATACTTGTAACTCGTAATTTATGCGTGCGAAGGAATGGGAACGACAATCTCTCCATAGTAACACTATCGAGGCAAGATGGTAGCATTTTTAAACTTCCCGATCCCTGCTTTCATTTGGCAGGGATCAGCCCAAACCAAAACAGATGCGAGACAGCGTTTGTTTGTGCATCAATTTTTCTTTGAAATTTTGCGCGGGAAATTGGTGCGCGACCGCCCAGAATCAATCCCCTTGCGCATGCACGACGTTTGACCGCTGAGTTCAATTGGTCCGGCTAAGTTTTGCATCTGATTGGTTGAGAGAGTGGCACGACTTTTCTTTAACAAGAAAAGAGTGCAGCAGAAAAAAAAAAAAAATTAAATCTTAGATCCTTGTCGACACCTAACTAAGCTTATCCGATTTGCAACGCAAAGATATTGTTAAAACCTTTTTTTAAGTCAATGTTGCAACACCAAATCTGACCTCATTATTAGAACTTCAGTACGTGCATTTCTTTGTCTGCGAAAGTTTAAGGCTTGGCGCAACACTACCCAGCAAGGAGTCTGCAAGTGATCTGGCAAACCTCTCCCCGACTTATCTCCGATCTTCCCACGGGCGGCGAATGGAGACCTGTTCACAGGTTAAACTGACGTTACCATGACAGCCAATCAGAAATATGGTATGTTATGCACCGAGAGCCAATGTGATTGGTCGAGAAACACCTCGAGTGGCACAAGTTTTCCTGACCAATCATAAACCAATTTAATCGCAGGTCACTCAAGACACCATTTTAAAATTTCTTTCAGTCCTAAAACATATTTATCAAAATTTACCTGCGATTGTAAAGGTGAAGCAAACCTCTGGGTTTCGCTGCAACAATAAGTCTGGCTTTAAATCCACGACCTGCTACGGCATCATCCGAATGGAACACGAGTCGAAGACACCGGTCGGGGGAGATTACAGCACTCGGCTTTCTTTTGCCGCAAAATTTCCCGATAGATGTGTATGAACAGCTGAAAAAGAACAAAGAAGAGAAAAGTATCTAAATGTGCCCTGCTCCTAACGCGTGGCTTCGTTTAGTTGATAGTGCCACCCAACTAGTATCTAGAACGTGCAAGTTTGAATCCCTTCGAAGCCTGGTTTTTTCAGGCCTCTCTTCTGTCTTTGCTTAACCCTTGAACTCCCATGAGTGACCGAGACAGAATTTCTCCCTACAATATTTATACAATATCAAGCAGACAAGTGATGAGAATGGAGAGAAATATCAATTAGGGGCCGGGATTATTGGCTGATCCAATACCAAATTCTCCAAACTTACATTGCAAGAACTGTATGGCAGACAGTAAGGAGATTTACTCATGTGATCTTGGGAATGAAAGGGTTTAAAAGCAGTCTACCTGTGAGGATGGTTACTTAAATTGATTACTAGAAATTTAACTTGTCAGTAAAAAGGGTCAGAACTACCTTAACTTTCCTCCATGTGTATTATGTATAAAATATTTCCGAAAGTTTAAAAATATCTATTTGCAAAAAAGAAAAAACAATTAGCTTGGGATGCATTATTCTCAGAAATAATTTCTTGTTCACTTCAAACTGAGGTGAGCTTTTTTTTTTCCCAGCCCTTTTGGTGTTGGCAACGAATTTTGATCAAAATGGCTTAGATCTTTTGCTTGAAATATTCTGTTATTAAAAAGAACACTATGGAAGTTATTGGGTATCATGAGTCACTTTAATACTTAATTAATACAATTTTATTGTAAAATGATTATTTTATGGCAGTAATTGACGAGATTACTCTCTAACTCCCAAAAGTGATTAACGTGTAACTTCTCCCTATACTACCCATACATTATCCAGCAAACAGGTAGTGAGAATACTCAAACTTATCAGGCACAAGATCTTATCCTGACTGATCACCAAATTCTCGTAACCAATTTACAAGGAAACGTTTAGCAGCGAGAGGAGAGAATTAGCAATCAGATCCTGGGATTTAAAGGCTTAAAATTGATCAAACATAACTGGATTAATCACCTTACGAAAATTTCCACATAATCTGTGTCGCACTTAGGTAGGATGCCGGCGATTTCGAAGTCATACCACGAGAGTTCCAATACATTGGGAGCGATGCTTGCCTGAAATTTAGCCTGAAAAGTGCATTCCAGATTGTTCTTATATTTTCCGTGTTGGTCTTGAGGTAAAGTAATGATTTCACCCCAGGGTAAATTTCCACCGCATGCACAACTCACAGACCGACTTTTTAGACAACATGCTATTGTAATGACATGGACAAGACATTTCAAATACTTGTACATTATGTTTTTTGACGAAATGGTTGAGCAAAGACTGGTGCCAACTACGATTCAAAATGGCTGACTGTGCTGTTGAAAGTGTCCTTGCTAAAGTTTCAGCGATTTTGTCGCCCGTTGGTTTGGAATCGCACCCTTTCAAGGTAGAGTTCTCTTTGTGGGGAATGACACTGTATTTGAGATATTAGTTCGAGTGATTGGTATCAACTGACAGATTGTTAATGATGATGTTTTGTTCGGCCTGGCATGCAATGATGTTGCACGCCACTGTAATCTTTGCCCTCTTTAGAGAAATCTTCAGCGCGATCTTAATGATTTCTCTTCCAAACGACTAAGGAAAAGTGCCTTTTTTTAAGTCAACTACTGCAAGTTTGACCTTATTTTACAGTTAAAAAAATTACCGTTTAATGTTTGTTTACGTTTACACTTTCATCCAAAGCATGTTGTTATCACACGTGTATCTTTCAGTTCATTTTGCACGAGAAACTTCTGACCTTTGTAGCTCTATTTAATTAAATTGTTAACAAATCGGGAAGATAAAGAACGTTAATGCTCGTTAGCAGCTGCTGTAGATTACTTTGAATTAGCTGGTCCTAAAACTGATCACAACCTCTCCAGCTGTGGAATTCAGCCGCAGTTTGTTTTGACCATTTTCAAGTGAGAGTAAGCGGTTTGTTATTGTTGGTTTTCATGAGTAGCTATTGTACAAGAATGAATTAAGTATTACAACGTAACAAGCGACGGACAATCGCTAGTATTACCCAATTCTGTTTTATCAGGGTTGAACTGTGTTCAGATCAGCATGAAATCGACAGAATCAGAAAGCTTCTGAGTACAGTCACTACCTTTATCTACCTTAAGTTCAGCTTAGTTAATTTTTTGCAAGATTTTGAGGCCTTGTGATGGGCAATTACCTCCCAGGAGATAGGATCTCGGACAGGATGAAAGGCTTAGAACAGCTGTAAGGGTTGATGAAAAACATTGAAATATAACCTTTGGCTCATGGACTAGATTCCATATTACTTATTAGACTACATTCTTCACACAGCGATCTAATTAATCTCTTTTTAGTGTAATACATTGACAGATGTTTAAAATAAAGAAAATTACTGATTAAAGGATATTGTATCGATATAAACTTAAATTCTAGCCACTAATACCCACAAAATCAATAGATGTTAGGAGAATTTCTAAGGGTTAACTTTTTAACTTCCAAGCTCTCATTAGTAATTCTCCTTACTATTTGCCATATAATTAATATGATGTTAGTTTGGAGAATTTGGAATTGGATCGATTGATATTTTTTCTCTATTCTTGTTACTTGTCTGCTTGATATTGTACTGATAGTGTAAGGAGAAATTGGGTCTAGGTCACAAGTGGGACTTGAAGGGTTAACTCATTCAGCGATACCATTCACAGATTGGCTGGTACAATGATCAACTGGAACACGAAGCATTCAACCTACCCTACCCCTATGACACTCTTGCTCTTGTGATCATAAGCACTCCACAGATGTTCGACCATGGATTTAAACCATTCATCAAGGCAACAGCTTGCATTGGAGAGAACGATCCACTTGACGAATTCATGGCCACTATGTTTGCAAAAGTTAAGGCAGAATTTGGTCCTGAGTGCAACATTGAAGCCATTCATGATTTTGAGATGCTTCCTAACCGCAGACCCAAGGTTTTAGTCCAGACAGCTGCACATGTGGCAGGTGGAGCCTATTACTACCAACGTAATAGTGTAACTAAAGATCCTTGGGACACCAAGAAGAAGATTTGTGGAGTTTCTGTTCATGCTAAGTATGGGGGCTGGTTTGCAATGCGGGGTGTGATCATCTTCAAGAATGTCTTGGTGCCTGACTTGCAACAAAAGGAACCCAAAGATGTCGTGCAAGGAGATGAGAAGCGTATTGAACTTCTAGAGAAGTTCAACTTTCACTGGCAGGATTGGAGTTTCAGGGATATTGTTCCCTCTGAAGTAAAGTATTCTGAAGAGCAAAAGAAATACTTTGCTACCTTACCAGCCAATCGGAAAGAACTTTTAGATTCATACCGCAACACAGCTGCTTTGGCAACAGAATGAAAGTCATGGTCTTAAACTTCTAAACAGTCAAAGAAATAATAAAAACCAAATAATTAGAAACTAGAATCAATTAATGACAGTTAAGGTGAGTTCTTGATTTTTATGGGAGCACACACATTGCTCTTTGATATTCATCCATTTTTAGCACTCTCCACAAGCAGATGTATGTATGATATGATAATAAATGCTATAAAAATTTTTTTACTGAGACAGATGTATTAAGATAAGTTACAAAATGTTTAAAAAACTCAGGCTGATCAATTTTTAAGGAGAACCACTTGACATTCTCAAAAGTATGTAAACTCTTTCCTTCCTAACTTCATTAAGCATATTCTCCATACTGTTCTCTATACATTTCCTTAGGTGCTGACAAAGAGAATTTGTTTAATAATCAAGAGCTGCTTCTGCTGGTGATCAATTCCTCAATTCTCATGACCTTTAAAGTCTTTATGTATGATTCAGGGAGGATATGGTATGCATGCCACTTGTAAGGGTTAGAGGGTTAACTGTCATGGTTAGGACAATGAAAATATATTTTAGTATTAATAGTAATGGGCAGTTTGGCCAGTAGCTACTTTCACTGCTAATAAGTTAGAGTGTTTTATTCATTTGTTTATCAGCATGTTTTTGCACTGATAAGTGTCCAATTAGTTACAATTGTCAATGGATTTGTTGAGCAAAGCTGGTATTTTTTAAAAGATAAATGCATAAGAATATAATAGATTATTGAATTTGTTTTTTATTTCCCAAGATGTAATTATTGGGTACAGTTGGAAAAAGAACCAACTATAATCGACCATAAAATTAGACGTCCATACTATACTTGAACTTTAATGAACAGAAATTGAATATCAAACTGTTGGCTCTAATGAGGAGTTTACCTGTAACTGCTATTAATAGGATAGAATTAAAAAATAAAGAACTTTGATATAGAAATTGAGTAGTTTATTATTTCCTGTCCCTGTCAGGTGCACAATACATTCACAAAATTTATTGAATTTAGTAACAGCTAATGATATTACTAATTAATAATAATTGTTATCAACCCTTTAACTCTCACAAGTGACCAAGACAGAATTTCTCCTTACAATATCTATACAATATCAAACAGATAAGTGATGAGAATAGAGAAAATATCAATTTGGGGATAATTAGTTGATCTGACACTAAATTCTCTGAAGTAGCATTACATGAATTGCATGGTTTACAGTAAGGAGAATTTCAAATTTGATCTGGGAGTTAAAGGGTTAATAAAGTTAATTCATTACCACCTTCATGACTGTATTTACTGGCTACTTTTTGATTTAAGACCCTTACCACCCTAACATCAGTATGCATATTCTCCATACTGTTCTTGATACATTTTCTAAGCTGCTGACAAGGAGAATTTGTGTAACAATCAAGAGCTTCTTTAGTTGGTGATCATTTCCTTTATTCTCTTGACCTCGAGTCTTGATAAGACTAAAAATCTCCTCCATCACTAGCATGCATCATATTGCACTGTAAATAATTTCCCTTAGTGATACTTGTAATTATTTTATGTATTCCAGAAAAATGTTTCTCATTACGTCAATTAAAAAAAGCCTATATGTTTACTAACAAATGTAAAATTAAAAGCATTTTAGGCTCAATTTTCATTCACTCCCTAACATCACCTCTCACTAAAATCACACTGTGAAAATAAAACAAAGTAACGATTCCTACAGGTCTAATATTGTGATTGCTCATGAGCAAAACCAAAAACTTTACAAGCTGAAATTTTTTGCTCTCTTGACCCAAAAATACATTAACTACTAACAATAAATATTTCAATAAACTCCACTTCAGCACCAAAAGTTTAACATTGAAAAATATATAGAAGGCAATTTTAACCAATACGGTAATCCATATCTGTGTTGAGGTGACAAATGAATCTGTTCTGTTCAACAGTATGTACCTTCTCATGGAACATTTATCTGTGTGTCAGTTGCACTTGTCCATTGTGTTATGTTATAACAGTGGGTATTTCTCGGCCAGTGAACTCTTGCAGCTTTGAGACTTTGAGTGCTATGTCTAGTAGGGGTTTGAGAACAATCTACAAAGAGAATGTATTCAAGTAAAGCTATGATCCTGGCAGTTGAGCAACAAATTAATTGGTTGCAGGAAGAAAACTTGAAAAAATTTAGGCTTCAAGGGGAGTCAAATCTGTGCCCCTGTAGATACTAGTTTGGGGCTACTATTAACTGAGCTGTGAAGCCAAATGTTGGGGGCAGGGGACATTTCAGAGAGCTCTTCTTTCCTTAAAAGGAATCTGATCATAATTCCTTTTTTTCAATTGTTATCAAAATTTATCCACCAACAAAAGATTTAAATTTCACATTTGCCTAAGACTTCAGGCAGTACCAATGTCTCAGCTATCCAAATCCATCAATTACGCAAATAAAAAACTTTCATTGGCACCTTGGATAAAAACTAGATTTACAAGTAAGCACAAGGCTAAAACCCAGTTGAGCAATGGTAAGTGAAACTCTATAACTTCAGCTGTGTACGCCATCTTTCCTCATGAATAACGAGGGTAAGTTTTGAAAGACATTGTGCTGCATCAGAGGGGGGTATTATCAACTGAGTTGATAATGTAAACTGGCCACTGTAAAGAGTTTCTAAAGCTGGTGTTTCCATTATTGTTAACCCTTAATCTTTCCTCTCAGCTCTTTTGCCACCAGTTTTCATGCAGTGCTGATTCTAAACATGACATGTAAGTGTGGTAAAAATCCATACCTGAGCATCCAGTAAATGTTTAGATTCATCTGGTTCATAACTTTCCACATAAACACGAATAGTTGCACCAGCACTTCCTGTGCCACTCAGACGGAAGATGACACGTGATCCATCAGTGAAAATCATGCGAACCCCCTGTGTAGAATCATTAAAGACTGTTTTAATCACCTAAGCTAGAAACAATTTTGTTAAAAAACAATGCTTTTAAGTTCATAAGTACACATCAATGATCCCAATTCCTTGGACTATTGTGACAGACAGAAGATAGCACATAATCCATCAGTGAAAATCATGTAAACCCCCTATGTAGAATCGTTTAGGACTATTCACATCACCTAAGCTAAAAACATTTTTTTAAAAAGCAGTGAATTTTTAATTCAGTACACATCAGTGACCCCCAATTCATTGAACTATTGTGACAGATCAGGTTCATGGACTGCCAAAACAGACAAGAGATGGACTACAGGAATGAAGGAACAAAGTAAATCTGGGAGTTGAGAAGCAGATGCCCAAAGAAGATGCACCTGCAAGGGTCTTGATTTTAACCCTTTAACTCCCAGATCATAATTGTAATTCTCCTTACTGTCAACCATACAATTCTTATAATGTTAGTTTAGAGAATTTAGAGTTGGATCAACTAACTATCCCCAAATTGATATTTTTCTTTATTCTCATCACTTATCTGGTTGATAGTGTATTGATATTGTAAGGAAAAAATTCTGTCTTGGTGACTCATGGGAGTTAAAACATTAAATGGACAACATACAATCATGTAGATTAGTTATCTAGGGCCATGATAACAAAAAAAAATGTCTCAGAATACATTAAAAAAAACCCCAAACAATTCATTTGTTGTTGTTAATTTTTAACAACATACATTCAAAGAAATAAATCAAGTATAAAAGGTTCATTAGAGCTTTGTAATGAATAATGAATGATGTCCTTTGTCTGGTCATGGGCAGAGGTAGGTAAAGTCTGTACCAGCTTTGTCTCCAACCCACACCTCTCAACAGTGAGTGTCTTGTCATGGGCAGAGGTAGGTAAAGTCTGTACCAGCTTTGTCTCCAACCCACACCTCTCAACAGTGAGTGTGGGACAGAGAATAAAATCTGAGTGCATGGCCACAAGGAATCGCACTCCTGACCTTCAATTTGTTTCTTTAATGACAAAAAAATATATTTCTGCATAAAAACAGTAACAACCCTTCGGCTCCCAGAAGTGATAAACATGAAACTTCTCCCTATAATATTCATACATTATTTAACAAACATTTAATGAGAATATTCAAACTTATCAAGTAGAAGCTGCTACCTTGATCTAGCACTAAGTTCTCATAACTAATGTACAAGGAAATGTGTAGCCACTAGAGAGGAGAATTAACAATCAGATCTAGCATTCAGTTTACCTGTTTCTCTGTCACAATTCCATCAATGGGATCAGTGTAGGAAAAGTCATCCATTGACTTCACTTGGTATGTCTTCTGATCCTGGCCACTGCCTCCTGTTAAAGATTTATTCACCAGAGATTCATCTTTGGCTGTCTGTCTTAGCAATTCAATCATCTTTTTGGCTCCCTCAGCTTCTACATTCTCATAATCACACCTGTCAGTAAGCAATTATATTCAGTATAAAGTATCAATAGTGTTCCTGGAGTAGTCAATTGCAAAAGGGCTCTGAATAAACCAAACGGAAACAGAATTGATTTAAATTAACAAAGATAATTACCATAACCATGAATTCAAATCAACAAACCTTGAAAAATTCAGGGTAAATTTATCAACATGGACTAATTGTAACATTGCAGCCTTAACTTTTTCACTTCCAAGATCTCTTAGTAAGTAATTCTCCCTAACTGTCTGTCATACAATTCTTATGATGTAAGTTCAGAGAATTTGGCATTCGATCATCTAATAATCACCTTATTGATATCTTTCTCTATTCTCATCACTTGTCTGGTTGATATGGTATTGATATTGTAAGGATAAAAACTGTCTTGGTCTCTTGTGAGTGTTAAATGGTAAGAGAAGAGTCATGGGAAGCTACTGTATTAAATAAGCATTAATGATAGCAAAGTCATCAAATGAAATGAATATGGCACCTTAAAGAGTAGAAGAGCACTGCACATACACTGTACCTCACAAAAAATCCCCTTCCATACTTCTTCCAGAAGTCCTTCAATATGCCCTGGACAGACATCTTTTTGCTTGCAATGATTGACAGCCATGCTGAAACACACAATTCACATAGATCTGTTAAGATATACAAATACTTAATCAAAACTGCACAGCAATATACATGCATCACCTCTCTGCAGCTTACTCTTACAACCAGCTATGCCACATCCTCACTTTACATGCTAATGCCTATTGTAAACAACTCCTAGAGATATGTCCAGAAATGCATGCAGTGACGAAAATAGTGAAAATTCCACTAAATCATCAAATCTGTTGAGCTAATTTCCCTTAGACTAATTTGACTGATATTTGCCCAAGATCAATTCCACCAAGCTGATTTCCCTTTGACAAGTTTGACTAAAATTGATCAAAATCATCAATTCCACCAAGTTGATTCTTCTTTGACAAATTTGACCAAAAATTTGCCAAAACTGTCAAATCCATGAACATTCATTCAAATTTCATAAAATCTACCATTTTTGTTCCTGCATGCATGCATTACTGGAAATCTACCCACAAAAAAGAAATCTGTAAAAAATTTTCATCTGATAATCTATACAGTCTCCCACTATTTTTAATATTATATCCTTACCAAGGAATGCCCAGACACCATCTTTCTCCCTGATGTGATCTGATCCTGTACCAAAGCTCTCTTCACCACAAAGTGATAAACGCTGAGCATCCATCAGGTTTCCAAAGAATTTCCAGCCTAATAATGTACATGAAAAAATCATGAAAAAATCATGAAAAAATTGCACTTGACCTACTGGCTTGTGTAATTTTGTTGCCTTTGAAAAATTTACTCTTGCTTATTACACAAAATTGCACTCAAAATCATGTTATAACCTATACTAACACTATGGCACATTAACCAAAATACATATTGCCAGTGTAAAAGTATTGCTTTCAAGTATTTGGTAGTGGTGAAGTATTATACAATTTGTAGTGGACGCTAATTAAAAAAAAATCCTTTGGTAAGTGGTCTTAAATGTGAGTATTGATACATATTAATGGTAATAGGGATATAGTAGGTAACACAAGCAGGCCTCACCAGTTGGTACTTCAAAGCATTCAACCCCCAATTTCTGTCCCACTCTGTCAATAGCAGCACTTGTTGGCATGCTACGGGCCACACCCTTCAACCCTGTCTTGACAAAGTATGGAATGCATGTAGCATTATCGGCAATAACTGCAACAGAATCTGATGGAGTCACAAAGAATCCATTTTGCCCAAGAATCATGTTACGATCCTGTGAAGTATAGACCTTATGTCAACGAACAGTCAAATATTATTTTAATCCTTTTACCCCTGAGAGTGAATATCTTGCATCTAATTTCTCTATACAATATCATCCCTGAATCACACATAAAGGTCATGAGAATAAAGGAAATGATCACAAATAAAGAGGCTCTTAGAGCTCTCAATCATTTCACCAACACATCTCTCACCAATAGTCTATTTTATAGTTGTGTGCTTGATTGCCAAGCCTTTGAATGTGAGTGAGGCTAAGGGTGACCTTGTTGTGATACAAACCTTGTTGCTCTCCAAATGTGAATTACTTTTATTAATTGTTTTCATGCGAACTAGATACTAGTCTATCACAACCAGATCACCTTCAGCCTCACTCCAAATCAAAGGCTTGGTAACTAAGTACACAACTGTAAAATGACTTGTAGTAAGATAGCAGAGAAGTTCTTACCCCGTCACCATCAAAAGCTGCACCCAGCTGATGTTCTCCCTTTTTAAGCAGATTCACAAGATCAGAGGCATATGTTTGATTAGGATCAGGGTGATGACCTGAAAGCAAACATAACTTATCAGCAAATCACAGTACTGTAAAAATCTTAGGAAAATTAACATATATTCCCAAAAAATCTTTGACTTCAGGATGAGTAATTCCACTGACAACAAGTCTGTCAAAGACCACAGTGACTATACTCCAAGATCACATAGCACAATTCAATGTTTCTGCATCAAATTCTAGCCTTAAGCATTTAATCAACGTCCAGGGCAACATGCTATTCCCGTGATGCCTTAGGTCCAGTACCAAGACCCCCCATGAGCAAAGGACAAAATATTAAAACTTTAACTCCCAAGATCTCATTAATAATTCTCTTTACTGTATGCCATACAATTTATATGACGTTAGTTTGGAGAATTTGGAAATGGACCAAACAATATTCTCCAAATTGATGTTTTTCTTTATTCTCATTACTTGTCTGGTTGATATTGTACAGATAGTGTAAGGAGAAATTATATCTGGGTCACTAGTGGGACTTAAAGGGGTAATTGAAAAACCACACCTACCCCCAAAATCTTCTTTTGGTTCACACTTCAAGGTGTAAGATTCAGGTGCACCCAGTTCCTGACATAGGATTCTCTTCAAATATGGACCAGTCACTGTTGATGAAAAAAAGAAAGAAAAAAAAAAAGATGCATCATCCAATAAATTACACCCATTTGACTCAAGCAAATCTACAGGGTTTATCTACCATTTCCAAGTAATTTAAAATCTAGGAGACTGAGTTTTTAGTTTTGTGGAGAGAAAACTGGCAACCATAGAGGGTTTAAGCAGTAGCCAATTTACAGTTATCAACACAGATGATAAAACTAAAGTATCCTATAAATAAAAGAAATCCTTATTTCATAGAGAAACCTACCTCCATGCATAGCACTGGCAATAAACTTGAATGGTGCTTGACCATCCGTTCCAGCAATCAATGTTTTTAGCAGATCAAAGTCAAAAATCTCCTTCATGAGCAATGTGTAATCCTCTACTGAGTCCTTTATCATCACAGTAAAAGTATGTCCTTCTATCTCCCAGGATTGGCTTCCAATAGTATCAAGATCGACAGTAATATCATGACAGATTTTGTATGATTTTATTGTTTTTGTTTTTGAGAAAATCTCATTGGTGATGGCCTCTGGAGCTGGACCTTAGAGAAAGGAAAAGTAATGTCAATAAATCCTTAACCCTTTCACATCCTACACATGATTTTCAAAGTTTTTTAGTGTTCTCCCAACATCCCAGATGGGTTACCAGTATTATGCAAACAAACCAGTAGAAAATGCAATCTATTACAGAACCCCTTCACTTCCACGAGTGACCAAGACAGAATTTCTCCTCACAATGTCAAAAAAATATCAAGCAGACGTGTGAAGAGAATAACGAAAAGTATAAATGATGGAATTATTAGTTAATCCAACACCAAATTCTCCAAACTAATACTACATTCAGATATATGTACATTCCATTTTAGTCAAAAAACATCTTAAACCTTTCACTCCAAGCAGTGATGAATGAAAAATTTCTTTTTACAATATTACTGTTACTTTCAAACAGAAAGGCAATTTGAGGAAAGGGAAATGTCAGTTAGAGGAGACACTCCTAGATTCATCACCAAACTATTTTTAGAGCTCAAATTGTAAGAAGTGTCTAGCAGACAGTGTCGGCAGTTGAGCTTGTATTGCTAGTAAGAGTGAAAGGGTTATAAATTGTCAGTACAGCTTTGTAGAGAATTGTTTCCAATTAACCCTTTAACTCCCTGAAGTGATTTATATGTAACTTCTCCCTACAATATACATACACTATCCAACAAACAGGTAATGAGATTACTCAAACTTATCAGTTAGAGGTTGTTATCATGATATAACACCAAATTCTTGTAACTAAATTACATGGAAATGTGTCACAGCTTGACGCGAGAATCAACAATCAGATCTTGGAAGTTAAAGGGTTCACAAAATTATCAATACCTCCATTCTCAATGTTATACTTGATTCCAAAATCACCATCAGGTCCTCCTGGATTGTGGCTTGCAGTAAGAAGAATCCCACCTACAAAACAAATAAATACATTGTACAATGTGTATCATCAACCCTTTAACCCCAAGAATGTTTTACTTCTGACTATATTTCCCTACATTTACAGGAATAACCTGACTTTTTAGTTTCCATGATGTGATATATACTAATCAAAAACAAATATTCACCTCACTGTCCATAAAAATTGACCGGATATTTAGGTAATAAACCCTTTTGGGCAGCTGTTATGTCAGCTGATAATGTCTGCAGTTGACAGATTGTCCAAAAAAAAATTTGGCAGAGAAGTGAAGTGTGAAATGTGATATTTTTAGGACAATCTCTCAGCTAAGGACATTATCAGCCAATATACCAGCAGGCCAGAGGGGGTTTATTTATTTCATAACCCTCCCATTCATTTTCATATCACATGAAAAGCACTCATGAAAAAATCAGTGTTGATCTAATGGTAGATGTGTATTAATGATAATCTTTTTAAAGTCACTATCACTGGACTATACTGAACAAGTTTTTTTTTCTTCTGTGTAAAATGATAAAGATGAAAAAAAATTAAAACACTTGAGTTGGCTTTTCTCTGCTGGCTTTGTTCCTTTTCGATATGAATAATCAACATAGACAGGGGTTATTACATGAGACCTGTCTTGTAATTTTCTAGGACATGATGTAAAGTAGCTAGTGCAGTAATGCAAAAAGTAATGGTGAAAATTAATGCATGTGACATATTGCACCACTGCTTGCTAAATATCCACCAATAATATTCACCTCCACTTTGATGGATAATTGTTGATACTGAGTAGGCTTAACCGTACAGTGAGCACAGTGGATATGCAAGCATCATAATACATATAACTATCAATATTCACAAGCATGTATTCCAACCTGTTGCTTTCATTTTTCTAATAATGCAGGATACAGCTGGGGTTGAAAAGATGCCACCCTGACCAATAACAAGTTGGCCGATCTGGATACAAAAAGAGTCATAAAAAACATATCACCTACATGATTTTTTCTTTCTCAAAGAACTGTAAAAGTATGCATAGTGAAGTATGGGGCTTTGTCGACATCTCACCCACTTCTCTAACCAAAATGGTCCTCAAATTCTCTGGTTTGGAATTCAAGGTGGCCGGTGGTCTGGAGTATTTGAAGTTTTCAAAACATAATATCAATTCACAGACTCTCATCTGAAGGTGCATATGTTATGTAATCTGTTTGGGTCTGTTTATCACAAACTCAGTCTGGTTTGAAATGCTTTCAAGATTATGCTCATGTGGGTTACAAATCTTCATCATGGTGTGGACTAAGAGAAACGACCTTATCAAAATATATATGAACATAAAAACACGCGAGGGGGGAGGGGGGAGGGGGTGACAGGAATCCAATTGTCATCCTGACCATTGATCAACGTATCAATCAAAATATTCCTCAAGGAATTTTTGCGATTGCCTAATAGCGATACTGTTCGCTCCAAATGACCAATCATAGGAAAATTTAAATAATAAACAATTACTGTTACGTAGATAACCTTATTCTAAACCATTTCAATATTTTTAATCGTTTCTGTTGCCACGCGTCAAGAAAGAAGATCATTCAAAGTTCACCTACAAATTAAAATATTTATAAAACAAACAATCTATACAACAAAACCTTCACAAATAACAAAAAAATGACGGCCGATTTTTCTGAAATTCCTCGCAGGATACTCCAATACGACTAGACAAATAACATACTTCGTTTGCGGCTGCCATTCTGACGATAATTAAAACAGCCTCTCGCATAAAGAATCTTCCATCCCCTCCGACAACCAAAGTACATCCTCGCCTTTTTTCCACTGGGATTGAGTCTATAATACATTGTACGAAATTCTCTGTATAGTGTTGTTGCTGGAAAACTTGGACAGCTTTCCTTAAGCCTGATGTGCCGGGTTTTTGCCCATCAAATGGCGAGGTTTCTTGCAACGTGACTGTCACCATGTTTCTTTCCCCAGCGTGGTGAAACACAGGTAAAAAAAATCAGCGGTTTTCAATGTGAAAGGTCACGCAACGGTCTGACGCGTATTTGTCACGCAACACTATCGCGCCTATGATCGCTTCGATGGTTTGTTTACCATCTCGTTTTCTTTTTTTTTACTGATTGAATACCTGGAACATACTAACTCTCAGGGATAGCTGTCAAAGAAATGCGTTGTTTCAAATTAGTAAAATTAAGTTAAGTTACCCTTAAGAAAGGTATGTAACAGCATAAAACCCTTACATCTCAACATCAATATACATATTCTCCATACTGTTCCTCACACATTTCCTCAGCTACTCACAAACAGAATTTGTTTAACAATCAAGAGCTTCCTAAGTTATTGATCATTCCTTTATTCTTGTGACCTTAATACATGATTCATGGGTGATATTCTAAGGAGAAATTAGATCCTAGTGACTCCTGGGGGTCCAAGGGTTATCTTGTTCATTTTTGTTACTCTTGGGAATGTGAGCGGAAACCATCATCATAAAGAGTCAATCGAATGGTCTAAATTTGAGTCGTTGAAAGAACATTGATCATCATTTTTATCGTGACGTTTTTGCCGCCACGTCAAGTTCTTTTTATATTTGAGGTGAACAGCTAGGCTCCCGTGAGGGCAGTGCAATGCCTGCCAAACTAAATCCAACCCGTGTCTATAGGGTTGGGTTTACCACAACACGAGGGTCACCAGACACCAACTTCGTTGGGGAATCGAACTTCGAACCTACACCTAAAAAACTAAACACACACACTCGATAATAAAGACTTCTAGCCAGCCAAGAGGAGGCACGCTGAAAACCGAAATAATAAAAGGTACGTAAAGAAGTTAGAAGTTTGGAAAGGTGGTCGTTGGTGACGGTGGCAGCACCACGGGCGCCCCATTGATGATGGAAATAACGATGGCGACGAAGGGACTTAAAATGTTTGAAGAAAATGGGTAGGTGAAATCTCAAACGAGTCATCATCACCTTCATAATGATGATATCCGCAGCGCCAGGACGAACGTTTCGAGAACGAAAATCAGTTTGGGATTGCCAGACGAAGAATTTACAGACATTGAGAAGGTACACAAAAATACGGGGAGTGACACACAACTCATCAAACTCATTAGAGTTGAAACCGACAAGAAAATGACGACAGGGAAGGACACACAGGAATTGGGGAAAATACGAGACAATGACGTCAGCAAGGAGTCTAGTACCAGATCCCTGGCGGAGAAACGCGTATCCTGCAGTGCTGACAGCAAGGTAGGCTCTCTCGTGACGGAGACTGCACGATAGATCCTCAACTGTTTACTAATCTCATCGTTTTAATGTTTGATTCAGGAATGATTCTGCAAGGAGAAATTGGATGCTGGTCGCCCTTGGAGGCTGAGGGTTTTATATTAGGCTTCAGAGATTCACTAATGAATAGCAAGAGATTTCAATTAAAGTAACCACAATTTATTTCTGATGTTTCGTAGAGCTTCGTCTTTTCGAGTCATTGACACGAACATCGCAATATAAGATAAGATAAATTTCCCACATTGGGCTAAGTAAGTTACAGTCAACTTAGAGTCGACTTTCTGACTTGAACATATTCGTTATTGATAACTTCGTTAACTCTAGAAATATAGAGATAAACTATCTATTGATGGCAATAAACATAGTTTAAAACTACTTAGTAGCAAAGCAGTTACCTAAAGCAATTTTCGATTGAATGTAAAAAGTAATTTTTACTTTTAATATTTAAATGTAAAGAATGTTAATCTTAAATGTAAATAAATGGTTTTTTTTTGCTTTACTTCGCTCTGTGATTGGTCCAGAAAACTCGCGCCACTCTTCAACCAATCAGATGCAAAACTAAAACCAAATACGACTTGGATGCCCGCGTTTTCCCGCGCTTCAAGCAGTTTGGTCAGTTTTGCGAGAGTTCTCACATTTTTCCCAGTTTCTCAAAACTACTCGTTTAAATCGAAGGATTATATATCGAAAGACTCCTACACTGGTACTTTTTATTCCTAAAATGCTGAATATTTGGCGTTATAACTTGATGGAGTGTGAGACCCCAGGTTTCGTTGTGGGAACAATACCATTTCACGGAGACAACACTTAGAGAAAAATCAATGATGGAAAAAAATTATAGCTACTGGAAAAATTAGGCAAAACTACAAAAGACGTCTTCATTTAGGCCGCATGCCACAAGAAAAAAAAAATCAGGTGGGTGCCTATCTGATAATCAGAATAGAGTGATACCAGGATTTAAGGTCGGATAAAAGGGATTAATGGTCACCGAAAAAGTTTACCCCCAGACTAAATCGTACACAAGCAGCCACCTGGACGAACCATTAAAGGGAAAAACCGGAATATTCAGTGATCTTTCAGTGCCGTTTCAACGTAACAATGATTTTGTTCTCCACAACGTTTCAGTAGAGCAATTTACTGTTTGCTTCTCCATATGGTAACACTTGAGTGGCACATGTCAGACTTGCGCAGTCCTTCTCGCTTGCTTTTCACCAAGCGGAGCTCCAAAAGAGAAAATCTGAGGGTGGAAAGAGAACATTGATAAGTCAAGTTTTCCACGTCAGTGCAATTAGGTAATTGCATCGCACGAGAAGAAGTCTGGTGAGATTTGTAAACATTGTTCCGTTACCGATCGCGATCTGAACGTACATGCAGTTACGTGTAAATGGTTAAGTACAAATTGCGTTCGGATCAAGGAAATTCACAAAGAGGGGCCGAAAAAATTGCAGCACGAGCGCTATCCCGACTTATTCCCACCCCTCCCCCCATTGAAAAATTAACGCTCCGATGTAACACTCGTAGTGAGTCGCCGGCCAGAATTTATCACCTCAGAATTTATGCCCGACGTCATGAAGAAACAGATTTACGTTTGGAAAATTAAAACAGCCCTCACCTGTTTCCAAGCACAGCTTTCAGTGATTCAAGATTCCATGTGATGTTGGTCTTGATGATCAACAGACCTTTTGGATTGATAATCTCCCACAGGCGAATCAACCAAGCTAAACACAGGAAAAACACATTTACCGTTAGAGCCCTTTTCAACTCAATGCAGCCACACCAAAACTGACGTTATCACGAAGAGAGGTAAAAGTTTAAAAAAGCCAATGATAAATCAAAGTGAACCATGCAAACTTCCTGAAGCGCGGGAAAACGCGCGTGGCCAAGGGGTGTTTGGCTTTAGTCTTCCATCTGATTAGCTAAGAGGGTCGCACGAGTTTTCAAGACATGGGTCATTCCTAACTGCGATTGGCTGTTGTGACTGCACAGGTTTTAGCCTTGGTAAAGGCATATCGTAATTATGAAAAAAAATTCGCTTTTGAACTTTACATGATATTCCAGAATTCAGCACAGACATATTTTGCGAAAATGGGTTATATCTGTATAAACAGACCGTTAACACTTTAACTCCCGAGAATCTGATTTTATAATTCTCTTCAATAGCTGCTACCATTTCCTTGTAAATCAGTCACGAGCATTTTCATTTTTAGATCCAGATAAAAACTTCCCACTAATAAGTTTGAGTATTCTCGTTACCTGCTTGCTGGATATTGTATGAATATTCTAGGGAGAAGTTACATGTCGATCAATTCTGGTAGGTCAAGACTTTTAAAGTAAAAGAGTATTTCAGGTTGAATCCCAGTAGCTGGTGGATAAATCTAGTCGCAGACATTAAGATGGGCCGACGCCCACTCATTTGTAACTGAATTCTGTCAGGAAAAAGGCGAGTTCACTTACCTTTAACATTGGCCAGACGGTGGAGGCAAGGCATGACAATGACGTCATAAACACCAATCTCATTTGGCAGCCAGGTGAACTGTACAATTGAAATCAAAAAAACAAACAAAATTATCTTACCCGAAAGCACTTTCCTTTATTAACTCAAAATAAACCACGAACAACAACTATTTAGCAGGTTAAAAACGAAGGACAACTTATTCTACAAAAATCTCCTTTGCAGCCTTTAATTGTTTGGTCACGTCGCGCAATCTGCTCTTTTCTAGCAAGTTCCGTGACAAGTCCAAAGGACTGCGAGAGAGACCTTCAGTAGCATCCGAATAATAAAAGAATTGACCATTGGGTCCGATTCTAACAATCATAGCCTCTAACCTGTTGGAACAGCACTTTCTCAGTTTCGGTTATTATCTTGTTGAGAGGAATACTGGAAAAACGCTTGTCCAGAGCGCTGGTGATCTCCAAGGATTTTCCTTGCTGAATCTTCAGGGCTGCATCGAGCAGACGACCACTGTGGTCTATAGCAATCACCTGCAAGGAAGGGAATCACAATAATTTTTTTTTTCCCGAGAGGGTAATTTAACGATATCAGGCAGTCAATGAATGAAGGGGATAAAATTCTAAAGAAACTGTGTTGCTGCATCGATGAGGGATTTTTAAATTTAGTTTCAACAACTGAGTTGATAGCGTCAATTGGTCTCCGTCAAGAGTTCTAAAGCTGATGTTTCGAGCATTCGCCTTTTCCTGCAGTCAAATGAACAAAGGTTTGGTTCTTAGCGCAGCTGGGAGTCTACCTCACAACAACGCTTTTATAAGTCTTTTCCCCACTTGTTTCGAGGAAAATTTTTACTAATAATTTATCGGCTTCGGGTCGGTGTGTTAACTATGAATTTTCATTGTTCACTTCGGATATTTTTCTTTGTTCTGAGTAGCCGTGGTCCTCTGGTTTGACAACCTTTGATCTTAAAACTCTTAAAGCAGGTTAACGTCTTCCATTGAGTGTCGTAAAACGAAATTCAAAGTACTCGCCACGGCCAATCGGAAGAGAGGGAAATACCATTAAGAGACAAAAGGAACTCGAAGTAAAACCAACAAAACTGCCTAAAGCGCGGGAAAACGCGGGCGACCAATTTGTGATTGTTTGTTAGTTTTGCATCTTATTGGTTAAGAGAGTGGCACGAGTTTTCTGGACCAATCACAAAGCAAAATGAAGCAAAACTAACGCAATCTCGGATTACTTTCGACGTTCAATTGAAAATTGCTCTATACTGGCTAAGTCGAAAATTCCAAACTCACCTGATCAAAATGCCTGCTCAGTTCATACGAGAGTCGTCCTACAGAGCACATGATTTCCAGAGCCTTCTTAACAGGGCATTCACACTTCTGTATGACATCCACGCAAAGCTGAACTAGCTCCTCATGCTCTTCGACGTTGTTGTCCATTCCCTGAAAACATACATTGAGTTGTGAATCAAACATAAGGTGACCTTAAACACGCCAGGGAGATCCATGAAACACTACCAACAGTCAGAAGACATCTGTTACCAAGAATTGAGGGAAAAGTTTGAATTTTGTCGTGTACAGTATCAGTTATATACTTTTCAGAAACGGTCTGTTTGGTGCGGTATTAACAATGCAAGGAGAATTTGAGCACCAATCAGAGACGAAGGATCTTTAAAAGGAGAGGGGAAGGGGGGGCGGTCACGGATTTCTGTACATTCTGCGTCAAGTGGCTTGTTTCGCCGTAATAATAGCGGCGAATGAATTCTATATAGCAATAGAAAGGATTTTTCTGCCATGCATTTTCTTTGCATTCGCACGTTTTCACCACCTTAATTTTTAAGAATTGCATGTTGTTGAGCGTACACGGGCTCTCCAGCGGACTCTCTCCCTCCCCTCCCCCCCCCCTTTGGCTACACCCCAACCGATAATGGTTAGTTGGATTAACTAACCAAAAGATCCCCATAGTGAGACGAGACTTCGCTCAGTAGAAACTCTTCCGCATCATCATGGTATTGTGAATTGGTGGTGGAGTAATATGCACTGTTGTCAACACCAGGCACAGTCGAAGGATTGTCTGAGGAAAATAACAGCATGTACAAATGAACAAAAAAGACAAATTTGACAAATGGATACTTACATGTACTCAGTGGCCCAGAGAGCTCGAGAACTCTGCTAAAACATTCAACCCTTTCACCCTTCTGAGTGACTAGCATCTAATTTCTCCTCATAATATCAATCCCTGAATGAAACTTAAGGAGCACAAGAATTTCAAGAGGCTCTCGATTGTCGAACAAATTCAGTCTTGAGACTATATGTGCTGATGTCAGGAAACTACAACTGATAAACAGAGAAAATCGGAGAAGAACTTCTTAGATGCTGACCCAAGCTCCGCAGATAAAACAGCTAACTCTCCTAGCTGGTGCCTATAAATTCCCTTTTGGCTTCTCGTGAGAATTTCATGTTATATCAGGACAATATCCCCCCGCATATCATCTCTTTATTTCTAATGACCTAAAGGCTTGACATGGTCTTCAAATTGTAAGGGAGAATTAAATAAATCGTTCCACAAAAGAGCAAAATGCTTCAAGAGTTTTTCCTCTGATGAGAAGCAATCTCTTTGTGTTCAAAATCTCTTAGTACGTGGCCACAGCCATCCCAACCCAATCAACTTTACGTGGATCCACCGAGTTCTTGCTTTTAGTTTTAAAAGTGAGTACATGTACCACTAAAACATAGCTGGAGGTTTGCGCATGAAAGAGTTCATTACCACTTTCAATATCAGAGTCTGAGCAGTCACACACCTACCCCTCCCCTACCTAACCCATCCTCAACTCAAACGTATTATAAGTTGGGTGTGGTGGGGTTTGGCAAGGGGTAGATGCGCAGTTGCCCAGGTACTGACATTCGCGCACCTACCCCTCCCCTAACCCATCCTCAACTCAAACATATTATAAGTTGGGTGTGGTGGGGTTAAGCAAGGGGTAGATGCGCAGTTGCCCAGGTACTGACATTCGCGCACCTACCCCTCCCCTAACCCATTCTCAACTCTTGCATACTATCAGTTGGGTGTGGTGGGGTTAGGGGAGGGGTAAGCATGGCTTCAGCACTGAAGGAGAATAACGTTATAACCATAGTGTACCCACCTTCTACACCAACTCCAAGCACAAACACAGGAGTCCCAACCAAACGTATTGGTGGACTATCCGCAATGGACTGCGCAAGTCTAAAGCCAAGATGCTGGACGAAATGGCGGCGAAAAGCAAAACGAGCAAATCGTGATGCCTCATCTCCTGTAGAAACCCAGCTGCCACCCTGACAAAAAAAAAACATTTTTAATGTCTAAAAACAACTGATCAAAAGAAGCGGTTAAATTAAATATCTAGAATAACAAGCCGAACTTAAAATGAGGGGAAGGTAGAGGGATTTTCTTCATATCCATTTATCGATCGCAACGTTTTTTCTTTGGACGGGGGGTGGTGATGCTTTCAATTTCTTTAAATTGATTTAAATTTAGGGATCAATTTCAGCATCTGAGCAAATATGCACCCACCCCTCCCCTAACGACTGACGACAAGTCAGGGGTAATGTTGGATTAGGGGAAGGGTGGGTGTGTAGTTGCTCAGATACCATCATCGATACAAATTTAGGTTGTGTCCTCGTGTACCGGTACACAAAGGAACGAAACATTAACGAACTGCGTCACAACTCCATGTATGGATGTGAAAACAATAGGAATTCCCCCGTGTACCGGTACACCAGGACAGCCCCCAAATTTAGGTATGTTGTCAGATCAAAAAAATTCCTTAAAGCAAATAAACACGGAAACTAAACGTCTAAACTAAACTAAGTCCTTAATAATTAGAAAGTATTTAGCCGGAAAACCGAAGAAAATTTCAAATAGGTGTTAAAAGTGATCCTAGATCCTGGATTACATTGGTTTCGCTTTACTTTGTTCTGTGATTGGCTAAAAAAATCTTGCTGCAAAAGGAATACTGATTTGTCTACAAGTGTTCAAGTCACGTGTTTAGGCCACGAGTTTAGGTGCCTGAAGTTTTGAGTCCCCTTGCGCTAAATTCACCGTTAATTCCGATTTCTCCTCATGTAAGGAGAGATTAGATACGGATCATTCCTGGGAAGCACAAGAGTAGGGCTCGTGGGCGAGGGGGGGAGGGTGGGGGTACCGTGAAACGTAACTTACCATGATCATGTTGTGTCTTCCATCAAAACATGGCGTAGAAAAGTCATCGTACAAAAGGTGAGGTTTGTAATCTTTAAATCCATTAAAATGGTCTTCACCCCACTCCCATACGTTTCCAAAGACATCACAAAATCCAGCTTTAGTCGGTGGGAACATGTTCACAGGCTTAAACCGAGAAAAAAATATAACTCTTTAGTTATTTTGAGTCAGTCACAGTGAAGAGAATAATCAATCTTTCCAACAACTTCTGTAATTGACTATAATAATAAAAGGAATGATAAAAAGGACTCACTGTGGAAGAGCCATACGCCATGTTGATGTTTGCTTTGGTATCATCCTGGTAGATAATGTCAGAGGTAGTACCCTCTGAGGGAGATTTCTGGAAAATATATTTTTTTTCCCATTTTAGTGCTGCATTAAACTAAAACCCTGGACTATCTAACAAAATGTTACACAAGAATAATTTGGGGAGGGAGCTGAGGCAAGTCCAAGCTGGGTGTGAGCAACCTCCCCCCCCAACTCCCCGACCTCTCTTTTAGACCATTCTGCACAGAGATGATCATGAACAAAATCTCGTCAATAGTATTTTGCCTCACAACACAATTAACCGTTCAACTCTCAGGACTAACCAGAGGGAATTTCTCCTTACAATATCAATACAATATCAGACAGACAAATAGCAAGAATAAAGAAAAATATCGATAATAGAGGATTATCAGTTGATCCAATATCAAATTCTCAGAACTAACATCACAAGAATGGTGTGGCAGACAGTAAGGAGAATTACTTATGAGATCTTAGGAATGGAAAGGTTAAAAGAAACTGTTTTAACTCTTTAACTCCCAGAAGTGACTTACTCATAAATTTTCCTAATAATATCCATAAATTATCCAGCCAAAAGGTAATGAGAATACTCAGACTTATCAAAATGAAGTTATTATCTTAATCTAACACAAAATTCTCATAACTTTTTATAAGGAAATGAGTACCAGCTAGAGGGGAGAATTAACAATCAGATCTTGGGAGTTAAAGGGTTAACCCCTTTGTTTTATCTGTTTACTCTTCTAATGATAACTAATAGCTTCTACTAAACGAGACATTCACATGAAGTTGGTAGCATAATAGTGAGTCACTCCAAAGAAAAAGCGGCACTGAAGTAAGTTTTGCTGACAATAAGATTGTCAAAGCCTAACCTGGGGTCCGCGCATGGCATGATGTTCAGCCTCTGTAGGCAGACGGTAGTCTGAACCCTTCCAGGCACAGAAAGCTTTTGCTTCATGGTAGTTCACTTCTGCAGGCCAGTCCATGGGCATTTCCATCACCTCAAACATTGCACGGTACCTGTTTGTTCAAGCAAAAAGATATGAGAGGAGAAAGAACATATAAAACACCACTTAAGGGGCGAGTGGTCAAATTTACATGGGAGGCTTAGGTTAGGAAGTTACAGTACATACACTTAAATCATGAATAAAATAAACTTCATGCAATTACCTCCAGGTATTCAGTCAATAAACACAATGTGATTACTGCAATGAGTGTTGAGGCACAACAAGCATCCTTATCGTGTGACAAAACAAATGGCATCTCTGTTTAACCCCTGAACCAGTTCTTAAGAGTCAGAGACACTAACTATTTCCAGATATAAACCTCTTTGACTCACTTGTAAGGACACTCCATCTCCTCTGAGTCACTATTTACATGATGATCACCATTTAAGACACCATTGGCAAACCCATTAACAGCACCATTGGCAACTCCATTGGCAACTCCATTAGCAACTCCATTGGCAACTCCATTGGCAACTCCATTGGCAACTCCATTGGCAACACCATTGGCAACACCATTATAATGCCCATTCATGTTATGATTGACATCACTTTCTTCCTTACAGTGAGAGTAAGTTGCTAAGTCTCCACCACAACCAGATTTGCACTTTTTTCCACAAACCCAAAAAGTAGGATGACGCATTTTGCGGAACAGTTTCCAATTCCAGCCTATAACACAATGAGAAATTCACTGAACTCTCCATCTGTCTCCTGAGGAGAGTCTTAGTTATGAAAAAGATTTGAAAGTTACAGTGAAGCATAGTGATTTGTTTTCTTCACTACCAGTAAGTTCACCATGATGAACAAGTGCATGCAACCTCTTTTCACAATATTAACCCTTTACATCTTAACAAAAATATGTTTGTTCTCCATACTGTTTTATATATATTTTGTATAAAGTACAACAAAAAAAAAAAAATAAGAAGAATTCTTTAGTTGGTGATCATTTCCATTACTCAATGTAACCATAATTGTTTACACCCTAACATCAGTATGCATATTCTTCATAATGTTCTCTGTCAATTTCCTAAAGTAAATGAAAAGGAGAGTTTGTGTAACAATCACCGAAAGAGCCTCTTTAGTTGGTGATCATTTCCTTTATTCTCATAAACCTTAAAGTGTGATTCAGGGAAGATACTGTAAGGAGAAATTAGAAACTGGTCACTCTTAGTGATTAGAGGGTTATTGTTTGCCCCAACAGTGATATTGCGGGGAGAGATCAGATGCTCATCACTCTCAGGGGTTATGGATTAAAATTTGACAGATGTGGCAAAAATTAAAACATGAACAATCATTGATAAAAACAGCGCAAATTTTGTGCATCAAACCAAACACAAAAAAGTATGTTTTAAATCTACATCAGTAGTTCTAGCTAGGATACTTCATTATGACACATTTGTTCCCTCCATTTTGGGGTGGATTCAACTGTTTTGTGCCTTTTAACCTAACAACAAATTCACCTGGAAATCAAGCTTATTATCATGGAAATCAAGCCTTGATTAAAGACAGCTAGTATGCAATTCCAACCTTCATCAGTCCAGTACTTGGAGTCTTCATAACCTCCATCATTGACAAAATCCAAATACTCCCGATTGGTGATCAGATATTTGGAAGCTCTGAAAGGCGGAACCCTAAGGAAAGATTGACAGGTGTCAGATGGCTTCATCAAAAAATGTTCAGAAATTAAAAATATTAATTACTCTGCCATTAATGAAACTGACAAGACATAAACACACAATTATCATTGACAACAAACTTAATGAAAGATGAAGAGTTCAAATTAAATATTACATTTATTAGGTACCCTATAGCTAAGTTAATTTAGCAAAAAAAAAGTACTACTAATATCAATTAAGTTTTATGTTACTCTTCATACAAGAAGATATTTTTTTAGATAATTCATCGATAAAATTCCCTTGAATTTTATATTCTATTTCATCTCTTTCCAATCAATCTTAAAAAGCCACCAAAGAATAAGATACATGTAGTAATTTAAAATACACATTATTAAAGGATGTAAAATATTAACGTCCAAGTATTTAATATTACAGCAGTTGACCAATGTTAACTGACACCATTGAAAAAAATAAAGTTATTACAAACAATATTCGTAACATTCAATTATTAATTGGCTGGCAGTTTTTCTATTAACAACAGCAAAAAATATTTAATAATAAAAGTAAATACAATCTGACTTATGGACTCAGACATCCTAAAATAAGTAACGTAATCAAATATGTTTCATAAAAAACACAAAAAGCATCACTCACCTTTTTCTTTCTTAAAATTAATATTAAATAAATATTTAGCTACAGAAATATTTTACTCATAATTTTAACTGACATTAACATAAACTGCTATGTAATTATGAATTGCATATAACTTTTTAAACAAATGGTACTTTTTGATCTTATTTTTTTAAAAATAGTTTCTTATAGAAAGTGCAAAACTATGAATGATCACTTAATTGGACTCATTTTCAAGTTGCTTACTTTGATAATACTCAGGCTTCAAAATTTTCATTACATTTGTTAATAGTAATATAATTATTTAACTTCTTAGCAACACAATAAATTAAAAAGCAGTTTACTGGCCGTGACTTAATTTCCATACATTGTAATTATACAAATAAAAAGTACATGTATAACTAAACATTAAATTATTTAACATGTGCAAATAATAAATATATTTGCTGCAGCTTAATGAACCTTGACACACACATTATGTTTCCCACCACAACAAACAAACAAACAATGGACAGAAACAACAAAAGTACAACAAGGGATTATGAAACAACATCTGACAAGCACTGTTGAACAAAGATTAAAACTTGTCCACAGCTGAAAGGACATAATCATTTAATTTTTACAATGAAGTCTAACAGTTTCTGCCGACTGTGGTTTAAGATTAAATATGTTGAGTAACTTTCACCATTCACAGATTTTTGCTGGTATGAAAACTTGAAGGCAGTCACATGTTTAATCATGTGGTGTGATTGTCAAAGTGTTGAGAGAAGTCCTGAGATAGACTGTTGTCCGTAGCAAGGACTGATGTTGGTCCTCATCAAAATCAAGTGAGGAATTTGTCTGTACAGATCGATGTCAGTTGAGTGATTTCAGTCTGGTTTGTGAGTCTGGTTGTCTGAGTAAAAAAGTCTGGAAATGGACTGTTATCCATAGCAAAGACTGATGTAATGATTAAACTTAGGTTATAAAGCAGAATGCAGTCTGTCAGTTGGAGATTTTCAGTGTGGTTCATGATCATGAAAACTGATTGGTCAGAGAGAACTGATCGGTCAGTTTTTCCACACTTTTACTGATAGTGAAATACAGGTGGAAAAGGTCACTCTTTGATTCTCATATTGATCATGCACCGTTTCTCACACAGACCCTGGTAACTCACTTGACATTCCACTCGCCATATTCGTTGTCCCAGCCATATGATGGAAAGTTTTCTGGTTTGCCCATGCTCACAGCCCGCTCTGTTATTTCAATCAGTGGATTGGACGACACAGGATCGCCTGATAGTTGGTATCATATATGATTTTACAAAAAGCACTATTTCTGATATCTGCACACACCGGAAATGTGGAATTCCCTCGGGAGAGATGATAGAGCTCAAGATCCTCTTAGGAAATGAAACCCACAAATCTTTTCCTCTTCAATTTTCAAATTCTTGCCAGGTTTTCAGAACAAAAATTAGAAAGAGACATGGGGAGGTTCAGGATATTAGGAACCCACCACAAAATCCAATGAAACAGGTTAGGGATGGACATAATAAAAATACCACTGAGTCACTCAACCATTCCTCTCAGCTTTCCTCTCAGTACAGTACATGTTATTACCCCCCTCTCCCCTCCCTTCCCTCCCAATCAACTCCTCCCACCCTTCCCCTCTAGTTTCTGCTATCTCATACATTCCACTCTTCCATATAAATTTTTTCTCACTTCAAATCCCACTTTTTCTGCAAACCGTTCCTTCAACTCAACCCACTTCACATGCAGTCAATTTTGTGGTAATTATTTTCCCCCATACCCAAATTTTGAAGAAAACCTGGCAAGAATCACAAGTGTCTTGTAATTTCTGAGTTTTGGACCATTCATAAAATTTGGGTGCATTTAACAAGCAGCTTTTTGGTATGCAATCCAGTAAGAAAAACATTCAGAGTTTCTTTAAATATCCAGGTACTGTGGCAAATGGAAGAAACAGTCACATGACTGTGAAAAAAATTTGAAGCAACAGCCAGTTGTCACTTCTTTTGGAAAAAGGTTTTAGAAAAAGGTATGTAAATGTGCAATGTATTTTTCTGTAACAGGCATATCTTTTCATTACAGTAACACGGTACTATGACAGCAATATTTTAATTTATACAATTTGTGTTGCACTCAAAAAATAATTCAGGGCCAATTGAATTTGAGATTAACTTGTATCAAAAGGTGAACATTCTTGTTTGCTCTCATTGTTACATGTAAGTTTAAGTCTGCATTTGAAATTAGTCAGTCTGCTTTCAATGTCTTAAACAGATGTTTTTTTATATCACCAATTTCTCTGAGTGTTGATTTTCAATTTTTTTTTAAATCCAAACAGATAAAAGTACCTTTTAAATTATTTTCTTACAGACACTTTTGGTGCATTTTGCATAATCCTCAAAGATAGATTGACGTTGAGGAGATTAAATAACTTCTGTGAGTGTGGAGCTAAAAGCTCTTTTTTCTTCAGGTATGTGTTTGTAAGTTATAATTGTGTGCTTAGGAAACATTTTACATTTGATGAGAATGTTTGAATCATTCCACCACTGTGGGACAGCGGTACGTCACGAAGGACGGACTTCACTCTGTGAGACAGCCAACTGGTAGAAGAGATATAACAAGTGTTCTGTTCCAGCTATGCATGGGCACAAATCTGTAGGCACCTTCTTACGAGACCAAATTCCAGGACAACAGAAGCCTTAGGGTGAGGCCATTTTCATGGGAACCAGAGATGAACACATTTTAGGACCCAAAGGGGTGCAGTTCTGATATAAAAGGGGCCCTTACCTTGCCCCCACCACTGACCAATAGAGTTTAATATTACATAGGAACACCTTGTAGGTTTAATTATTATCCAACTGCACTATGAGTAGAGTACAAATAACCTGCAATATTTTGACAGTTGTTCTTTTTTGTACTGTAAAAAAGACCTGTTTAACCACTCGACTGTTCCCACTTTTTAAAAAAAGTGCATCAAAAGCAGTTGGATAACAAATAACTTATCAGATGTTTTAGTGTGTAATATCACACAGTATTTTTTTACTCATTGTTTGTATTTTGATTTTACAAAAACTGTTCTTTAGTATATTCTGCTACTAAATTTTAAACTAATTACGCAACTCAGACTAGCAAAGAAAACTTTATCTAACTCTCTCATAGCAACCATGCAAATTAACTACCTGGCTAACAAAAACTATCCCATAATATTTTTCTCCCACAACATGTTATCTACCTTTCCAATAATTATAAAGTTAGCAAGACTATTGCCTCAAAGAATTTCACAATTATCAGTACAAGCTGTGAGTTTTACCTGTAGTCAATGGTCCATTTTTCCATCCCTTAGGCTTTTTGACAAGTTCCAGTGGCATCTGACGAATCAAAACTGATGAGGTCTCAAAGTGGATCCTTGCAAAAAGCAACAAAAACGTGTTGATTGTTAATACTACATGTATTACTTGGCAACCAAAATTCAGTGAAGAAATGAATTTAAGATATCCTCGCAGCTATGAACACTACTGAACTAGTAATTGAAAATAGGACCTGAAAAAAATTCAGGCCTGTACAGGATTTGAACCCATGACCTCTGTGATACCAGTGCAGCACTCTACCGACTGAGCTAACGAGCCAACTGGGATCTGGTACCAGCTCCCAGTTGGCTTGTTAGCTCAGTTGGTAGAGCACTGCACCAGTATCATAGAGGTCATGGATTCAAATCCTATACAGGCCTGAATTTTTTTCAGGTCCTATTTTCAACCACTAGTTCAGTAGTGTCCTTACCCTTGAGGATCTCTTAAAAATCCATGTATTATCAAAATACATGCAAGTAACTTCATGTACATAATATTATGAGTAAAAAATTATTTCTTTATTCCCCAAAAGTGATCAAATTTAAAGTAATTTTCTAAATTGTCTGAATTTAAAGCATTATGCAGTGCATTAATTGTCAACTGAATGTGCAGGTGATAAGAATTAAATTACTATAAGATAATATCAACTGGAATTTTAACATGATTTTACTGAAAGTGAAAGGGTTACAAGGCGTGGAGGTCTAAACTTGTGACAAATGTACTGTTTTTATTCTACAGTCAGTTCATTGAACAGAGTTTATCCAATTGTATTTTAGATCTTGCCTAGCTGCTTACTAATAACTTATTTGAAATGAAGTCTGTAGAATATACAATAAAATTATCTTGCAAAGATTTCACATGTTATACCCATAGATTAAACAAATTGTAAAATCAAAGCAATTTAAATGCTACAAATATTACATCTTTATAACCTTTAAACGTCATACCTTTCATGTTCAAATCCCATGAAAACCGCCCACTAAAATAAAGATAAGCCCGTACCATTAGGCTTGGATACAACAAAAACAATACTATACTTAACACATTCCACTACCCCTCCCTGACAAGAGCAGAATCATCAACTCACAATCTTTTAATCATACCAAAATTAATAAATTCAAAGGTGTGAAAAAAATTAGGCCTTGCAATCCCAGGTGTGATCAATATAATTCTTAAAATGGTAAGCAGAAAGGTGATAAGGAGAAAAAGGTGTTGTCTGACCAAGGATTTGATCAGATACCAAATTCTCAGAGCTACAATGGGAACAGAGTGAGGAGAATCTACATAATTGCATATAGGTAAAAATTTGATCAGCATACTTGACATAAAAATTGCAAAGCAACCAATAAGAATATCGAAAAATCCCCTCACAATTTTGAAGACCAACCACTCAGGATTCAAACTGTCAGTGCAGAGGTTTTATTTGTGCAGTCACACAGATTTGATATGTGCTTAATTTGCTCAAAGAAACAATATTGTATATTTCAAGTTGAGGCACCCCATTCCTTTCCAATAACATCAAAGCTTAAACAAAAGAATTTTTGCTGAATAGTGAATTTCATAACCTTTTCAATGATATATAGTTTATGGTGGTTATGCATCAAATAGCGCATTAAATTTTTTTTTTGCTAAGGACACCCACAAAGGTCTACCATATCCTTAAAACAAGACGCTGATGGTTTTACCCATTGGCTGTCCTGAGTAACAGGCAGTTCCAGTGGTGTGTTCTCAATGACATCCAACATGACTTGGCGTGTTTTCCTGCGGAATTCTGCCACTTCAACAACTGTTGGCCATTTAAAGCTGCCTCCCATCCTGTAGTTCTCCTAAAAGAAACGCAACCATCTCTCATTGTGGTTTTCACATTAACCCTTTGATCCTTAAGTGTGACTTGCATCTAATTTCTCCTTAGAAAATCACCCCTAATCAAACATTTGAGACCACAAGAATAAAGGGAATGTCATCATCAACTTGTTATAGTAAATAAAATCCTTCTTGTCAGCACTTAAGGAAATGTATAAAGAACAGTATGGAGAATATGCATACTGATGTTGGGGTGAACTAGTGAGACTCTGTAACCCCTAAGAGTGACTAGCATCCAATTTCTCCCTTTCTCCCTTCAATATCACCCCTGGCTCAAATATTGAGGTTATCAGAACAAAGGAAATAGGAAAATCTGTAATTTAATTGCCAAATGGAAATCTGTAATTTTACAAATTGGAAATTCATGTATATACTAGGCAACATCCGAGCTGTCGATGTATAGCCAAAAGTTATTGTGAAATAATAAATCAAAAATTTTTTATCACCGTGTCATCCCATGACATTTCATCTACACCCGTCTCAAAGAGTGTCTCAAAGAAAAAATTCACCCTCTCCTGAAATAAAAAAAAAAACTATGTGAGATAAATAATTCAGTCAAGTACAAACCTATCCAACTCAGATGCAAGGACTTCAACCAATTCGCCTCTCCACTGTCCCCTTATTAGAGATTAACTCTTTACCTCCCCCCTCAGGCTGCTATACATTTCCTTGTAAATTAGTAATGAGAATTTAGTGTTAAATCAAGATGACAACTTCTACCTGATAAGTATTCTCATTACTTAGAGATTAACCCCTTAACTCTTCTCTAAGGCTGCCACATATTTCCTTGTACATTAGTAATGAGAATTTAGTATTAGATCAAAGTGACAACTTCTACCTGATAGGTATTCTCGTAACTCTACATAAAGCGATGGAACAAGTGGATCACTTCCAGGATTTTGTTTTAAAAAAAAAAGTTACAAGTAAATGCCTGGTTGCATATATAGTTTGGTCAAAGCAGCTAGGTCAGAATAAACTGCAATTAGAAATATGGTTCTTCCCACACTCCCAAATCTGAAATTTATTTCTTGGTCTTTAAAAAATGATTCTATTCTGTTACTATAGATAACATTCAACTTGAATATCATGTAAGACGCATACCTTCAGAAGGCCTGAAAGAACAAGTTTATTGATATAAACAGCTGCCGTATGGCCAAAGTAAAATATCAAAGGAAGACGCAGACGATCTGGGCATTTGTAAAATGCTGATTCATCTAAAACAGAATTAAAAAAAACAATGTTAAATTCCCATGGCAGTGTCACCTGGACAGAAACAGTGTTCATGCATATGCTGCTTGCTAGTTTGGTACAAATATTATTATCAACTATATCTCAACTTAGAATTTCCATTTGACATTACAGACTGGAGATATCTCCACCTATTGCACAGAGTTATTCCACTAAATATTTTATCTTTTAAGCAATCTTTTTAACCAGTAATGGCTAATATTCCTTGGTTTTTAAATTCTGTTCATTATAAAGGGGTAAGTTTCTAAAGAAACTGTGGTGCTGTGTCAGTGAGAGAGTATAGCAGGTAATTTAGTGTTTACAACTGAGTTGAAAACGTAAATTAGCCACCCTAAAGGTTAAAAAAGCTGACGTTTTGAGCATTAGCCAAAACGAAACATCAGCTTTTTTACCCTTTACGGAGGCTACTTTACGTTTTCAACTCAGTTGTTAACACTAAATTACCTGCTCTGTTCATTAAAGGCTTCAGGCTCAATATTTTACAGTAGCCATTTGGTGAACTAACATCACAAAATGGTTGCCAAAAAGTTTCTGGAACATCACATGAAATACAAAACTTCATCATGACACTTGTCTTTAGATTAAGAAGTATGGCCGCCATTGTTAGAGATTCATTCCACCTCTCAAGGCTTATTACTTGGGCAATCAAGCGGCCAGAAGAAGATATTTTAACCCAAGAAAACAACAGAGCATGAGTAATATTCAGCTTCAGACCAAGAAAAATAGGCTATAGACTTTTGCAACTAGTTACATCAGACAGCCCAACACAGGTAAGCAAATTGACAACTTACCCCACAAATTTAAATGCTTAAATTTATGGAAATCATGGCAACCACATTTTATAAGATAACTATCTTTCTGCTCTGATTAAACTCTATATCATATATATGAAAAATATTATCTTTGGCGATGCCTTTTGTAAAGTACTTGAAAAAGCACAAACAAGTAAAGTCTTTTAATCATTTCAGATAAGTGGTAAAATCAGTGAAGCAGAAAAGACAGTAAAATACAAAATTGCAGAGAGAAGATCTTTTTAATTTGCATTTTATTAAATATTCAGATTGCCAGTCATCACACCAGGAGGTAATTAGTAGCACCGGAAAAAAAGACATTTGAACAGGTTAACATCAATCAATCATCAAACCAGTGAAGCAGAAAAGACAAAACACAAAATTGCAGAGAGAAAATCTTTTTAAATCTGCATTTTATTAAATATTCAGACTCAGTCATCACACCAGGAGGCAAATAGTGGCACCGGAAAGAAAAACATTTGAACAGTTTAACATCAAAGGTGTCTAAATAAACCACAAAACGAACACGCTACGTATGATGGCTACCTTGAAGTGTCATATTCAAAATTAACATGCAGTGGAAGGATGCATTTGAGAAAAGGTGCCTCAAGGGAAATAATCTCAGAGCTGTTTTAAAGTATCTGGAGCCTCTGAAGGAAAATTAACCCTTCAAAAAAGTCTCCTGAGATTTATATTCTCTCTTAAAAATAAAAGTCGCACTACTGAATGGTGACAAAATCATTTAACATGTGTATTATACATCTATTTTTATATTATTTTGTTTATATTAATCGCGGCCAAGAGATATCACTGAAAAAACATTTCTCACACTTGATATATTTTGACGTTCTATCCACAAGAAAGTTATCTTGAGTTAGCTCATGAAGAGCATTTATTCTCGCTCTTGAAAAATATGTAGCGAGCGACGACAAATGTCTCTTCTCTTGCTTTTTCTTTAGACGAGGGTAAAGGACATTTCACAATTATTGTGTTTTCACATGAAATATTAACTATGCATGCTTAAGGGTTTAAATGTTATACATCTGCTTGTGAACAGCTCAAATGTACAAGCTAAAAAGGGATGTTTAAAAAAAGTGAAGCGCACACAATTGCTCTGATGGGAACGGATGAGCTTAGTTTGAGACGAGTTGAAAAGGGATGAATAAAATCTTCCACAAGCAACTCTATTTTATCGATTGTCTCCGGAAAAGTACCCTGTATTACACAGACGAAGAAAGTGAAACCATCCATGTCGCATGACCATCGCTTTTTTCGGGACTTTCACTTTCACACCCGAACCTTCGAGGGCGTTGTAAGATACTGCAAAATATTTTTTAGTTGTTGGATCACACCTGAGAACTGATCGAAACCAAACTAAGTTCTTAACACCTCTACCGCATTGAGACGCGCCTGAAAGTTCTAGAAAATATTTTTCGTCCCTATGGGAGAATTTAAAGGTCGCCTGATTTGCATGAAGCACACGTGTTATAAGTTCTTTTTGTCGAAAACCCTGAGTCATACACAATAAATTTGTATCAAGCCGAAATAAGTCCAGGTAAATAAAATTATCAACATGGGTAACGACCTTTTATATTTTTTATGGAGGGATACTGAGGGTAGAGTGTTAATCCTGGTTTGATTAAGAGAGAAATACTTAAAAAAATGCTATACATTCAGACATCGTCTTCCAGTTGGTATGACGCGCGCCATCTGGTGGCTAGGGGCCGGAACAAGGAACCGCGAATTTAAACAAGAAACAGAAGTCGGAGAACACAAGCTACCGCTTACCTTTTAGACTCGTGAATAATGTCTCGTACAGGTCGTAGGTGTTTTCGAAGTATTCTTTGATCTCTCTGCAAAACATCAAAAACGGTAACCAATATTAACTTTTGCCGCGCGAGATGTAGCGACGATCAATGTGATTATCATTGCATTCGCAAACGAAAAGGAAGATTACCTCTTGGTACAAGACGAGAGATCGCATGGCTTTAAAGAGTGAAGAACGTGTCTACCACTTGGCTGAAACACAACCATCGCTACTGGCTAGAGAGTCAGAGTGAAATTTACTATGAAGTTCCTTTGAGCACGCTCGTAGTCACGTTCTGAAAATCTTCCGCCTCTCTGGTCGCGGGGGCCTGGGATGTCCTGTGGAAATGGTGAAACCCTTTGTTATTAGCTCAATCCAGTACGTATTCAATTAGGAAAGATTTCGCAATAAAATTCCATATATTTTGAAACTACAATCTCAAGAGCTATGCAACATAAATTGGAATCAAAAATTGCATTTCTGACTATGCGAAATTTATCGCCTAATTTAGCTTAAAGTCTCGTTTTCAGAAAAGCCTAGAAAAATTTACCGACTTTGCGATTAAGTATTAATTTTCTGTTGAAGAACATTCGTTCCAGTTATCTCAATTTGTATATAAAGGTCGTTATGTAATATCCGCTTCATGTCTCAGGCTTATAGCACATCAAAACACACTCGTAAGAAAGTCGAGCATTGTATGGAGGACATTGTATGAAGACGGTTATCAATGATACATAACCCTGAAAAGTGAGGCGAATACTAAAGTAACCACGCTTGACCATCATCCGTCAGCAGGTTACAATCGTGGCTTCCCTGCCGTGAGTGAAGTGGAAAGAGAACTACCTAGCTAAGTTGTTTTAATTTCCTTGCTCGAGCCTTCTGCCTTTTATGATCTCTACCCCGGGATGAAGAAAATTGTACTCACTTTAAATGCAACAGAAAGGATAAATATGTTTCTTTTTTGAGAGCTGATGTTTCCTGAGCTAAATAACCGTGCTGTCTGTTATGCAATCGATGGCATAAATCATGTCACAGATCGGCTGTTATCCCTCCAAGGAATAAGTTAGACAAGCAACATGGCATCGTAGACAAGTAAACAAGGGGCTTTCTTCTCAGTTAAAAGAGATTAAGACACATGGCTGACAGAACTCAATTGAACCTTGAAGAGCACCAGAACAGAGACACGGACCCTTAAATGTTATATCAGAGTAGACAGTCGCCTCGTTCTGTTTTGTTTTGTGTTTTTGTGGTAAATCTTATACGACTGAACTGTAGTGCTACCTAAGCTAAATAAACGTATATTTTTCCAGTTTAAGTCCCTTGAGGGTTTTAGCAGTTTGTTATGCAATCAACACTGAATCGTGACGGGAAAAATAAATGTAGATGTTAAAAACGTGCATATTTTCACGTTTTTTTTTTTGAGTAAATAGCAAAGTGTTTTTTTTTAATTGAAAAACGCCTCTCAAGCAAATTGTCGTGGTTTATGTGATGGTTGGACTGTACATAGTTCACTCTGACGAAGGGCTAACGCTCGAAACGTCAGCTTTGGTGACCATTCAGTTGTTAAAACCAAAATATCTTGTAATAACCTAACCGACAAAGCAACTGTTTTTTTTTTTAAAACTTACCCCTCCCCCCTTTATTTCAGAGATAGATTCGTGGAGCTGCAGAGGAAACGAATAGCACTCCTTTAAATAGTGACTTGGAAGTGTTGTGAGCCATTAGATCAGTATAATATGTGGGCCTACAATATAGCCACAAGATGCTATTTTAAAGGCTCTTGTCGCGATAACGGATGACGATATTTCAGCTCATTTAGTAGCACAACATCGGTGCTTGATGAAGCAAAATGCAACATGGCGACATGACTTCACTTAAGAAGGTTTCCTACAGCTTCTAACTGCTTCACTTGCAGGTGACGCCATTTTTATGGGCTCGTGAATAGACGGACGAGTGCTGCACGACAAAACCCTCTATCGTAATGGCTAACAATAATAAAAACGAGATCTAAGCGAAAGCCTGATCCAGCCAGACGTATGGAATTGGTCTCTAACTAGATAATTCCAGGATAGGGGACCAATTAAATTTATGAGGGATTACGAAACAACTGTTGAACAATAAGATGAAAGTTCTCACAAACCAGCTGCAGCCACAGTTTCACTTAGGATGACATCAAATCATAGAGAAGCTTCTTCGACCTTTACAACCCAGACACTGCACGGAAATATTCACAGTTTGTGACTTACTAGAACTTTATAAAACGATTTCAATGACCTCCTCACCTATTTTGGAACAATATCCATTGTTATCAACAGGAAAAGAAAAAAAAGAAAACAATGAGGAAGCGGTGGAGTGTGTTATGCACACTTCATGCGCTCTGAGTTTTCATTGAACATCTGGCAGAATAAAGCCCGCCGAACGTGCCTTATTTTTTTTTTTTTTCGGGAATCGTTATGAGAAACAATTAGTAATGATTTTTTTCTGACGCCCAGATCTTCAATGATAAGATCAAAGAAACCTCAACTTGACCTGTAAAGTCTAGACATTCATTCAGTTACTTTTTCATAAACTGAAATAAACTGTTAGACTACAAGTTAGCACTTCTTTACGAAATCTCGTTTCAGTTTGTCTTCAAGCAGGCCAAGCACATGCATCTGAAATGACATTCCAGAAGTGGCGTGACTGTGGTAGAACGATGTGAATGATACTGGACGAATATGGTTGACCCATATGACGGTAACCACGTGGTAATTCGCTATTTCATCATCTCAGTAATACTACAGTTCAGTGATATCAATGGGTTTTCGTTCTTGTTGAATTATACAAAACTAATACGTGTTGACCTTGAGTTAATCATCAGATCGATAATGGGACGCAAACCGCCCGACAAACAAAAATGACTTGTTGATGACTTCCTTCCTTTCAGAATAAAAAAAATATTGAATAATCGTATTAAGTAGTCTGTTTTTTTTTAAGGCATAACATATAATATTTTCGCTATAAAAAAGGCTGGAAGAATTGCAATCATTCGCTTTTTGTTACTATCATGCACTAGCTGAGTTGACTTTGATTCTTAGGAGGCAAACAAAACGTACACACGTTAAGTCATCGCATAATGAACAGGCCTCACTGACTGACCTAGCATCAAAGAATCTCAAACATTAACGAGCTTGATTGATGGCGTTTAATCGGAAATAGGTATTGTTGAAAATAGCTCATGGCCAACATCGCTCACCTGAATATTCAATTTAACTTTTCTAGCATCTCTGATGAGTGAATAGGAAAAGAGAATCGAGATAGAGTATGACAAGGAGGTTAAGGTTAAGGTTAAGGCCATGATTAGCCATCCGCATAAGAGGACACCGGGGGAGGGGTTGGGATTTTTTTCTGTCACGAACCCTCTCCTCGCAACCGTCCTCAAGTCACCGATTCACAGCGGTGCAGCTGTGCTAACGGTGACCGGGATGTTTGGTACGATTTTTAGCGAAACAGAAGACCGCCATTTTGGGTTCTCTTAGAAGAGGAACACTGGGGATAGAAAAAAAATTAACTCCAGTGGGTAGTGGGAAGGATCGTAGGCGTGAGGGAGGCGGCAAACTTCGCAACTCGACAAACTTATGCATTTCGTTTTTACCAATGATATGGATAACTTGAGAAGTCCCATCAATGGTAAGAGAATCCCACCTTGCGCAGATGATTCTGCAGGGCTAGAACGAAACCAAATCTAAAACATGTCAACCACAGCGATAGACTAAAGTAATTATGTAATATTTAGTGACGTTTCTCTTTAGTTCGCAATTGAAAGCTGCGAATCGAATGAGCAAATCGTCGAACAATATTTAACACTGGTAAGAGTTAACATGTACAGTAAAACTACTACAGCTTGGAAAAAAGAAGCCATGTGTGTTAGCCGCCGCAGATCGATCTTCACTAATATTTCATGACTAAGTAATTGACCCTTGCAACTTCAAGATCCAATTTAAATTGTAACGTTTCAAAAGATGTAGCCACAAAAATTACCCTTAAAGTAAAAGTTACCTTTCAAGTTTCTTGTATTCTTAACAGAAACGTAGGTCGCTATTTGGACAAGTCTGCTGTCTGCTGTCAGATTTGAAAACTTTCACTGCCTATATCGACCGCTGCTTCCAAATGCGGCTGTCAGCAATGACGAAGCGATATCAACTCATCTATTAATTACACTTGGAACAATGCATCAGCCCACTTTGTTTGGAATTCAATAAATGAGAGAAATGCTATATTGCTTCTGCATATCTTACAATAGAATTAGTCCCACACAATTCCGAAAAAGGAGGGAAAAAAGGTATCAGCCCACTTTGTTTGGAATTCAATAAATGAGAGAAATGCTATATTGCTTCTGCATATCTTACAATAGAATTAGTCCCACACAATTCCGAAAAAGGAGGGAAAAAAGGTATGCCTCGGAGACGCAGCGCACATGTTATGTTTTAATTACTTTTAAAATGTCGCGAATCACTCTCAACTTAAACGAAAATATTCCGTAAAATATATGCATATTTTACAAAGATAGACTTTCCGAGAGTATTCTTGAGTTAGTGATTCATTAAGAGAAGTATTGTAATGAAACCTACACAGCGATTTATTGTCGGGAGGGAATGTTGCTGAATTCGGTCTTAGAATTAAGTTACGTTTTCTTCTCTTTTCAGAAAAATAATGATAATAATCATGAGTAACCTAGATAAGTGGTTTTCTTACAAACGTAAAATTTTTCCCGCGGTAATTCTAATTGCTGCTAGGGGCTAATGTAATCGAATAAAACCGCACAATGTTTACCTTATTTCGGTAATAGTTCACAAAACTGTAAAGATGTGTGAATGAAGGGGTTACGTCTGAGTGAAATACGATCAACCTTTGTATGGAGAGCGGGGGTTTCTTTCAGCGACAAAGGGAATTCCAACCTTTATTAAACAAAACAAGCGTCAAAATAAAGGGAAGTCTAACATCACAAGGCTGAGGAAAAATAACAAAAATGCAACGAATGAATGGTCGAGAAAGGAAAACAAAGTTTGTCAAGAGAACTTTGATTGATGTTTCAAGATGGACCACACAAAGGGTTCCAGTAAAAGTTAACACAACCCACAAGACATCTCTCCACCGTTCACTGCAAGCTGGCTCTAAAGTGTTTGGGTTTAGTCTTACAATCCCTTTTCCGAACACAGCCGCCGAGTTCATGCGGTCCCTTTTCCGGGCACTCTGCTCGCATGACGCAGCCCCTTAATCAAGCGATATTTATATAGAGCAAACAGATATAAGCCGCAAGTTATAACAAACGTCTTGGAAATATTTTTTGATTACTCTTTGTTGCACAATAAAAGATATGTACAGGGGCGAAGTTGATGGAAGAGTGGCGGTTGGGGGGGGGGGGAAGGAGAGAGAGTCGAGAAATGCCAATGATCTCGTAACCCTATCATATCTGAGATAACCACTTTTAATGTCAAATTGCTGAATGCGCTTGAATCTATGGGATCGAAATTGATGAGATGATCAACATATTTAGCAATCATTGTCCATGCTACCTCGAACTGATAGACATTTAGGCTGATAAGCGTTTACATTAGTATAGAGCAGTGTAACTGATGTCACATAAACCCCTTCTCATCTGTGCAGCTTTCGATTTCTATGCATGATTGTTGATTCGCACCTCGCCTTTTTCAACCGTCATGCGAAAGAGATCTCGAGCTCAAAATACTTCGTAGGTGTTGACACTTATTTTTTCGATCGCGGTCTTTTTAATCGCGTGACCGTTGTTAGTAAAGTGTGTCCCCCCCTCCCCCCCTTAAAAAAAATCTTAGCAACGCCTCTCAAATGTAAATTTAATCGTTGTTGATATTCATGGTATTGTAAACACTCCAGGCGTTTAGGGCGGATTGAATGAAGGATAAAAAGAGATAAAGGTCCACTGAATAACCAACACATTGACGCACCCACAAATTACCATCAAAGCAGTCAAAACTGCGCAATGAAAGCATAATAACACAAAAGACATGTCACGATCAAAGATAATTATCACGGATTAACGATGAAACGTGATAAAATTTATTTGACCGAAACTCAAACCAGGTGTCAAATGAAAAGAAAAAAAAATTCAGAAATGTTAAATCATTATTTAGCAAAATATTTAAGTTTCTTGTAAACCGGACCTATCAGTAACGACTCTGTAGCAAAGTTTATCCACGTTCACAAGAATTACACAGTCATAATTACATGAGAACTGAGATAATGCAAGCTTCCTGATTGGTCAAAAACCTATAGTTTATTGCACACCGGAAAGTCCATAGAAATTAAAGTTTGTTTTATATAACAAATTAAAAATACCACACTTTCCACCGGTTTACCGACGTCATAGCTCACTTGGAATGTTGAGAGAATACTGAAAATTTGTAAGACTTTAACCGCTTATTTTCACTGGATGGCAGAAGTTTTTAGGCCTGCCCCGAGTGTGCTCGGCAACTTTTGAGCAACTTTTAGCGTTTTGAGCAACGTTTTGTTAGCCTATTTCATTCCTTATTTGATATTGCAACTAAAAATTGGCTAAAATGACATCAAATGAACCATGTGTTTTGTTCGTTTGACGTAAGAAGATCCTTAAATGTCGCCCATATTTGCAAGAAACTCTTAAAAGCTAATTTACAAGCTATTTTTTCGACCGCTGTTAGTAATTATTGTAAAGAACAAAAGATAAAGAAAAAAGATAAAGTTTGTTAACGTTTACATAAAAATATCGAGATATTTAGGTAGCGACTTTTATAATTTTTTTGTAATTTTTTAGCAACTTTTTGACATTCAGGTGAGCAGCATTCCAGCATTTTACGAGCACAATCCGGACACACCCTAACTGTAACTTTTTTTGCTTCATTAAGTCAAGTAAGTTTATGAATGGGGACTGAAGGGTAATACTGAACGACCCACACTTAAGCCTTTCTTTTTCACATGTGTTTCTCTTATCTTATTTAGAATTATTACCTTAGTGCAAAAAAATTAGTCGAGCACTCCTCGAAGGACTGGGACGAGACACAGCTGACTATTCCACACCACCCCATTCGTGAATCGCTTTTTCACTGAGTCAAGACTTATTTTAAGAAAGAGGATAGTCAACTTTTCAATATGGTAAAGTAAAATGTAGAGAACACATGAGAGAACAGAAAAAGATGAAAGACTGGGACGAGTGAGTAACTCA